TATCTGTTATGAACTGTAAGCATAGTATCATTACATATCAGTCTCGAAATCATGTAACCAGATTGGTGGTCTGCGAGCTTTCCTTGGACGATTATTGCCTGATGGATCAATAGCGGAGGGGATATCATCAAAACTTGCATGATGATCTGAGTCAAAGCTGTCTTGACCATCAAAATCATTCCTTAAATCATCAGTTTCACAGTTCAATATGTTATCATTTTCACCTGATAGAACTTGCATACGCTTTCTGCGCATTCTATCTACATGAATGACTTGTTCTGAACCCCTTGGTCCACAATTTACAAGATATGTCAAATCTGACATCTTTTTCTTAACCTTGTAAGGACCCTGCCAGAAACTGGTTAACTTGGGCGATGTTCCAGGTTTCCTTCTTGGGAAATAAACATACACCTCCTCGTTGGGTTCAAACTTTTTCCACATCAACTTGCGGTCATGATAATGCTTTTGTCTCACCATTGACTGATTCATTTTGGCCCTAACAAAGGAGTGAGCCTTCTCCAGTCGTTCCTGCAACTCCCATACCCATTTATTGCTTGGCGTGTCTTTTATTTGAGGTGGCATCTCATCTTGGAGATCCAATGGTGTACCAACCTCCCTTCCAAACATCATCATGTTTGGTGTCATGCCAGTAGTTTCGTGTACTGAACTGCGGTAGGCCATCATAATGAAAGGTAAGTGCACATCCCAGTCATTATGATGATCATTTACAAACGCACTGAGCATTGTTGTGAGCGTTCTGTTAAAACGCTCAACCATCCCGTCTCACTGGGGATGGTACGGGATGGTATGCGTTTTCTGGATGTCCAGTAATTTACACATTTCCTTGAAGAGAGTACTTTCATATTGTGGTCCTTGGTCTGAATGAACCACAGCTGGTACTCCAAATCTTGTGATAACCTCCTCAACAATCTTTGCTGCTACTGTGGACGCTTCCATATTATGTATTGCAAAACATTCAGTCCACTTTGTGAAGTAGTCTGAAACTACTAGGATATATCGATTTCCATTGGCAGTCACAGGGAGCTCTCCAAGAAGGTCAGTGGCAATTCTTTCGAATGGATAGCCAGAATACACCAACTTCATTGGAGCCTTGTTGCTTGGGATTGGTGCTTTCCGTCTAGTACATACCTCGCAACCAGCAATGTAGGAATGTACGTCTCTTTGCAGACCAGGCCATAATAAGACTTTCGTATTCGGGCAAGTGTTTTGTGAATACCAAGATGGCCTGCAGATCTACAATCGTGGCAGTGCTTTAACACGGTTCTCCTTTCACCACTGGGAACAATGGCTTGTAGAATATCTTGCCTCGTAGTCAAATCAGTCTATTTCCTGCAGAGAACTTCATCATTTATAACAAGCCTGTCCCACTGGGAACAAAGAGACTTCACAGTGATCGACTCTGATGACACATCTTTGCTTGGCCTATCTTTGAGTGATAACCAAGCTTTGACTTTTGATATGTCTTTGTCGTCATTCTGTAGGCATTTCAACGGCTTTTGCTGAAACATCTGTTTATCCACTTTGGCGCTACAGATACTCATGTGGTCAGTAACACAATGCTCAGCCTTACATTGTTTACAAGGTGCTCGACTAAGACCGTCCGCATTGCCATGCAATCTTCCCGGTCGATATTCAATGGTAAAGTCATATGTAGAGAGAACATCCATCCATCGGGCAAGCTGTCCCTCAGGACCTTTAAAGTTCATTAGCCACCTGAGTGAGCTATGATCTGTACGTAACGCAAATCGACGACCATACAAGTAATGCCGAAAGTATTTCACAAAATGAACGGCAGCCAATAGTTCCTTCCTTGTAACACAATATTTCTTTTCAGATTTTGTCAGACTCCTGCTTGCAAAAGCAATAGGGCGCTCAATACCGTCTTGCATCTGAGACAACACTGCACCGATAGCAAAACTGCTGGCATCAGTGTCCAATATAAACCTTTCATTGAAATCTGGATGGGCCAGGACTGGTGATGTTGACAATTCTTTGCGAAGTAGATCAAATGCTTCCTGGCATTGGTCACTCCAAATAAAATGTGCTCCTTTCTTTGTTTAGTCATGGAGTGGCTTAGCTATTAATGCAAAGTTTGCTACGAAGCGCCTGTAGTAGCTACAGAATCCAAGGAATGACCTGAGCTCCGATACATTGGAGGGAACTTCCCATTCTTGCACAACCTTTATTTTATTTGGACTTGTGGCGATCCCCATCTGGGATACAATATGTCCCAAATATTCTACCTCTGTTGCAGGGATGGGGTAATTGAATAAAGTAATTGTAATTGAGTGTAATTAATTACATTTTTCAAAGTAATTACAAGGCAAATTTGCCATTGCAGACCTCTCAAGAACGTTTCCATCAATCGCTCAAAAGTCGCCGGGGCGTTGCAAAGCCCAAATGGCATGACTTTGAAATTGTATAGGCCCTTTCTGGTTTCAAACGCTGGCTTTTCTCATGGTAAGCCACTTCAACCTGCCAATACCCGGCGTTAAGATCTAATGTTGAAAAATATTTCTTCCCTGATAACTGATCCAGGGAGTCATCGATTCTTGGGAGTGGAAATGCATCTTTAATGGTAACATTATTTCACTTCCTATAGTCGACGCAAAACCTTGTCGTCCCATCCTTCTTCTTTACTAACACGACTGGGGATTACCATAGACTTGTACATTCCTCAATTATTTCCCTTTTCAGCATATCATCGATATGACGGTCCGTGTCCTCTTGCATATGAATAGGCATGCGCCTTGGAGGCTGTTTAATTGGTGTGGTTGTTCCAGTATTAATGGTATGCTTGGTAACTTTTGTTTGACGTAAATCAGCATCTGAGGCAGCAAACACGTGTGAATACTTCAAAAGCATGTTTTTAACAGCCTTGGCATTATCTGCTGTCAATCCTGTAACTGACCTTGCGTACAAATCCTTGAGATGGTCAGGCAATTTTCTCTTATTGTCCTTTAAGTAAATGGTCTTATCATAGACGTTCTCAATGTCAGACAAAGTAGCTACAAACATTCCTTTATATAAAGTCTGTGGTTCTGCAGAAGGATTCATCAGTCTAACGGGGGCTACTTTATTGCCTTCTACGAACGTTCTGGCCACTAAACCTCTATCAGATTCTAAAAAACAATCAGACGACTCTACGATACCAAATTGTGGTACCTTTTCAAAGACAAGAGGTACGACATTGCCAATGGTAATAATTTTACTGTACGGTGGAACATTGACATTCTCAGCTAAGGTTATCCTACAACATATCTTGCCCTCAAATGCAAGTTTTACACGTTTGTCTTTAATAACCATACAAGAGTTTGTCAAATCAATCGAGCAACCATTGTTCGTCATAAAATCAAGCCGAAGTATACCATCAACACCAGTGTCTGCTACTGCAAATGTTTGGCTAAACACTGAGTCCGCTATTGTAAGGGAAATTGAAAAGAGACCCTTCCACTTTCATGGCAATACAATCAGCCATTAGGATTGGCCTGCTAACCTCATTGAGTCTAGGGTGCGGATCATAAAGAACAGAATGTAGAATGTCTGGTGAAATAATACTGAGGGTCGCACCAGTATCTACAAGTAGTTTAACCCCATAGCCATTAATAACAGCTTCAATAAAAATACCAGCTTCCCCAGCTTTTCAACTAATGCCTGTCCTGTTGGCTGTGCTATCCTTTTGCTTAGTATTCGGATGTTCACTTCTTATTGGCGCTGGCCTTTGTCCTCTGCTGGTATTTGTCATGCCTTGTATCACATTTATACTTGAAACAGTTTTTCTTAAGATGACCTTTCTTTTTACAGCAATGACAGGTCACACCAGCAGAGGAAGGCTTTGTCGTGTTTTGTTCCTCCATTCTTATCTTCATACATTGCATTTCCTTTTTGGGGCTAATTGTATTCGGCGCGTCGGCGCGCCAGCGCGTCCATCTCATCCCAGTATCACAAAAGTATTTTCTCCCTGCATTAAAACACTCAAATGACAGCGATTTTCTTTATAATTTAAGCGTTATCGCTTATATTCAAGTCGACAGCCCGAGCCCGATTGCATTTTTTTTAGGTGGATCCAGAAAAATTTCCCTAGAAGGTGGTGGCTCATATCGCAAGGGAAGAGGTCCAAGGCATAGCTTTAATAAATTTACTATGTTAGTTTAAAGGCCCTTTGATCCATGCATGCCTTACCACAATTCATGCAAGAGTAATCCGAAATTTATCCGAATTTTGGAATTGGCCTACTTTCAATATCTCTCTCTCTCTCTCGTACATATATCTCCAAACTTTAACTATAGATTTAAAAATATTGAGTGCTTTTTATATAAATTTATTTAATGTTTAACATATATATATAGGCCTGGGAACCGAGGGAGGGGGCTTACACAGATAGACATCATATTAAACATTGGGGGCGTAGGTTTAGCCCCCACTTTCAACTGGCACGTTGCAGTGTAGTCGAAGAAGGGTAAGTAGTAGTGTTTGAAAGAACAAAAATCGGTATTGAAAAAAGTTCGATCCTCACCCCCCCCCCCCCTCCCCTCCCCCCAACGAAATAGGATTTTCGTGTTTGGACAATAGATACATTTTTCCTTCTTCTTTTTTTTTTTTTGCTTGTTAAGAATTTTCATGTTTTTATTTTTTATCTTTCACTCCCCCCCCCCCCCCCCCCCCGGCTTCAACTTGCTTCCGACGCCAATGTATCACATTAAAATTTACCAGTATTACGTTATAACCTTAGACTCTTGAGTTTAAACTCCTTTTAAAGACTTGATTTTCATGGCTATAATGATAATCTGCCATACATTGGTATCAGTGTTTAAAAATATTCCTTGTTACGTTTTAAATTAATAGTACTACTAAGAATTACCTTGTCTTTATCACACCGCTCATAGCGTTATCGGCTACTCGGTTGTTATCGGACACTCGGTTGATTACAGTTTTTGACCGGTTAGTAAATATGATTTCTTTCGTTTGAGGAACGAATTAGACAGAAATCAGTTTCTACTCGGTGTGATAATAAATTACTTTTTCGGAATTACAAGGTTTTCATTCGAATACCTGGTGTATATCACGTGGTTCTTTAGAACCGGTCTCGTTAGCAAGGCTATATAAGAGGTGAATAGTGGTTTAAATACCAGTTTAGGACGACACGTAGAGCACCATAAAGTTTAAATCTCAGATACAGAACGAAGTGGCGTAGGGCGTGGTTCATCGACATGTTTAGCCATTGTAGATGATATGAAATCACAGAAAATAGAGTTGGAGAGAGATTTGACAGTGTGGAAAGCGAGGTCATCAAAGAAAAGCCATCCTAGATCTTGTTTTTATAAGATAAGTATTCATTTGAGAATACATTGATCAGTTTTTGAATAAGTAATACATGTAAATAAGTGATAACAAAGTTTGTAATAGAGAGAATTTGAAAACAAATACATGATTGTATTAGATGATGAGATTCGTTAATTCTAGTCAGTATATGATAATAGAAGTTATTTCCAGAAATAGATAATTTGTTTTGTATAAAGATAGATTTGTTAAAGGAAGAAAACTGGTGTTTCTGAAAAGCAAAACAAATACGTTACGTTAATTTATTTTTCAATTAAAACAAGTGTAAAATTTATAAGATATTATATTTGCACTTATATCCAATTTAATATATTTGTTTATCATTTTAAAACGTAATAAATGCATCAGCATGATATCAAGGGTATTTCCTGAGTATAGAAAATATCGATCAATTAAAATTGTTTGAATTTTTCAATTTCAGTTGCTTGCCATTTTGTCAAATGTGCTACTAAAATGAAAAGTTTTAGATATGTTGAAGAGGAGTATATTCTTATGTTTCAGGTAGTTACATGTTGGGGTTGGTATCACGATGAGTATAATGAAGAAGGTGATTTTAAGATCTCCAGAGAAGTACGGTAGATTTTTTCTTTGCGTTTTATGCCAATTAAAAGTTAAATTTCATGCGGACTCCATCACAATGGAAAAGAGAAGCATTTCATATTCTGATTTGTGAGTATAAAAATTCGTTTTTCGATTTATTTTAGTAGATCATTCAATCATGAATCCTTATAGTAGAGTATGGGGCATAGATAATTTTTGTTTGGTATCTATTAACCAAGTATATGTATTAATGACATATAAATTTTATAGAAGAAAACGAGTTTTACTTGTCTTATGATTAATGCTGGACATGTACGGCTTTGTGAAAGAGAATTAAAGGTTTAGAATATTTGCATTTTGATTTACATTGTAGTTAAACTAAGGTCTCATTTGAATTATCTACTTAAAATTGAAATTTATCAATTGAGTATTAATTTAAAAAAAAAAAAAAAAAAGAAAGAAGAAGAAGATTAAGATGGTATAAAATATTTATAGGAATGATAATTCTGCAGTATTTGCAGTGTTTTTAATTGGCTTGATTGAGTTTTCTAGAAAAAGAGATCTAAGTATTTAGTTTCAATTCTAAAAAGTTTTGATAACAGAAACTGAGTTTTGTCGGTATGATTTCGAGTAAAAAGGAAATTTTGTCAATGAATTCTAATTTTAAAAATGATTCACTAAAATTGAATTAAATCTTTTCTGAATATTAATTTCATGGGCTGTTTTGCGCAATATTCGTGTTTGGTAGTGTTTGGAAGATTTGAATTTTGATAACGTTGATATATTTCATTTTATAATGAAATGATATAAGGAATGTTTATTAATTGGCAACAATTTTTGGAGTATTTACTTTTATTGAATTTAGTTTTCACTGGAAAGCGATTTTTATAATATTGTAGCTATTTAAAAGCTGTTATTTTTTAATTTAAAACAAAAATAGAATTTGAAGGGAATTCCAACTCTAACCCAGCTTAGCATAAAATATTTTATGGATGTTAATCATAACGCATCTATCGTGTTTGGTTTTTGGCGGGATTGATTCCAGTAGACAATGAGAAGTACAAAATAGTCTAATGAAAATTAATATTTCTGTTTGAAATAATATTGAGTTGGGTTTGAATTTGAATAACTTTGGCACAATTTAGCATATCATGCTTTTATGAATGTTTTCCAACCATGTATATGGTATTGTCATTTGGCAATCTATTAAAGATTGTTTTCATTATACTGCTGATACTATGAAATAGAAATTGATTGGATTCGAATGCTTTGCACATTTTATCATAATATGATATTATGTTATAGATGTTTATCCAACTACATTTGTGGTGTTGCCATTTGGCGAGTTGGTTAAAGTAGAAAGTGGGTTCTTTATCATACGAGTTTGAATTTATGGATGTTTGTCCAACCACATATGTAATGAAGTCATTTAGTAAGACTGGTTTCTGCAGAAAGTGTTTTTTGGTATATATTAAAGTAAAAGTTTATAATTTTCATGAAATCAAAGAAAAATTTTGATTCGAACTTGAAGTATTTGATAAATTTTTCACATAGTATGAATTTATGGATGTTTTTTGAACCGTATTGTGGTGATGCCATTTGGCGAGTTGGTTAAAGTAGAAAGTATTTCTACATATAAAGTACAGTAAAAGTTGATAATTCTGATGAAAATAAAGTAAAATTTAATTGGAATTTGAACTTTTTGATAAATTATATCATAAAATGAATGTATGGATTTGTATCCAACCACTTTTGTGGTGATGCCATTTGGCGAGATTTGTTTGTGTAGAAAGTATTTCTACAGAAGTAGTAAAAGTAAAGGTTGATAATTTTGATGAAAATAAAGTAAATTTTGATTGGAATTTGAACTTTTGATAAATCATATCATAAAATGAATGTATGGAATTGTATCCAACCACATTTGTGGTAATGCCATTTGGCGAGATTTGTTTGTGTAGAATGTATTTCTACAGAAGTAGTAAAAGTAAAGGTTGATAATTCTGATGAAAATTAAGTAAAATTTTATTGGAATTTGAACTTTTGATAAATTATATCATAAAATGATTTTATGGATGTTTATCCAACCACATTTGTTTTGATGCCATTTGGTGAGATTGTTTTCAGTAGGAAGTATTTCTACAAATAGTAAAGTAAAATGTTGATTATTCTGATGAAAATAAGGTTATCATAACTTGATTATCAAATAGATGTTTATACAAACACATTCATGTTTTTCTTAATTAGAAAAAAAAAATGATTAGTGCAGTTTATAAATTTTGAACTTAATGGTGGAATTTTGATTCATTTTATCATTTAATGATAGTATGCATGTTTTGCTAGCCACAATGATGATGACTTTGATTTTTTATATAGATTAAGAGAGAGAGAAAAAGAGATCCTATACATATTTACTAAAATATCAGTTACAAGATATATGTATCTATCAGTTTTCTAACATCAAATTTGTTCTTCCAGGTATTATTGGTTATATTCTTCTTACGTTTAATTCAAGCACCATGAGGTATTAATCGGTGTACCAATAATGACAGAGTTTCAAAGAGGCACATATCCAAGGAATTGAGATGGGATTCAAGATGGTTCACAGGAATGTGTATTTTGTGCTATTTTGATATTGGATGATGAATATACTTCTATGTATAACTGTGTCGATTTGATTTGATATATTTGAAGTCTTCTTCCCTGGGACTTCACGATAAATCGTATGGTATGCGTTGAGTTTGACTTGAAACTATACTCAAAATTCAAGTGCAGCAAGCATTTATCGATGTATGGATAGGATGTGTGCATAACATCAAGACTTTTACAATCAGACTCACATGGTGAATTGCGTTATGGATTTTCAAAAGACGGCGGTGTATTTTTATTTTTTAGGATGGATATACATGTATTGATATTTTCCCGCGTTTCGCTAGTATAGTGAGAAAATGTTGTATTAATGACAAGATATTTATACGCATGTTGTGTGGATTGGTCAGAGAGTGACCAATAGAAATTATTATTATTGTCGTTATGGGTATTTCCTGTGTGAACAGAGTGGTGGATCTGTGTGGTTTTTATGTCACGTGACATGGTCATATAAATAGCAGGTGCGTGCTTTAAAAGTTATTCTTCCGCTCGTACAGAACATTGTAAGGAATGGAAACCAGTACAGCGAGTTCAGATGTGCACTATTCTGAAGAAGTTTTATTGGGCGAGTCTAGTACTAGTGAACAATTGTCTAACGAGGATGCAGTATCTTTATTTAATAGTTCATTGAGAAAAGCTTTGCAACAGCAGAATGAGGTCATTGTGAGTTCTATTGTGAAGCAAATTAACAGTAAACCTAATAATCCCGCCACGAATACCGGGCACGAGGATAGCGCACGGGAGGATACTAAACATAACTCATTCGATTTCAAACACGAGGGACATCGCATTCAGCATACCTTTAATACAGAGAGAATAGAGAAGTTGATTGAAACAAAAAACTTTATAGAGAAGAAAGATTTGGAGAATGCGGCACTGACAATTGAGAAAGAAATCGGCGAGTTGCGACAACGAAACAAGATTCTAAAAATAGCAGACAGGCACGGGTGGGATACTGTCAACGAATATTTAGACGATCCATTAGCAGACAACAATGACGACGCTGTTAAGTTACGGGGCGCTGTTAGCCGTGCTGTTCGTAAGCGTAATTACAGAGGGAAGCCATATACATATCCCATGCAAAACCGTAGACAGAATGCATTTGCTGCCAACGACTTTTTTCGCACTTTCGGCCAAACGTTTGCTACAGGGGGGTACAAGCAATTCGCCAAACCAATCGAATACGGCGCAGGTCAACAGAACTTTGAACGGAAGTGCTTTTTCTGCAGACAGGTCGGACATTACGTCAGGGACTGCCCATTTGCCAGAGGACAACAAGTTCCAGTGTCAGCTTCCACGGTCGCATCGGCCTCTAGCAACAACGCCAACAAGCAGTAGTAGAGAACAAGTTGAGTATAGTGAAAATGAAGGCTGTATGAGTGATTCTTATGAATATGAGTTAAACACGTGTTCGAAGATTTCAGTGAAGTTTCGGTTAAAAAATTGTTTACAATTTTGGAAGAGTGAATTGTCTTCAAACATATTTGTTAAAAATACTATTCAGTTTGGTTATGTAATTCCATTTATTCAATTGCCGCCTAAGGTCGTTTTAAAAAATAATAAGTCGGCTCATATTCACAGTGATTTTGTTTGTACAGCCATCAATGATCTTTTAAATTCTGGTTGTATTCACGAAATATCTGAAGAAAAAATACATGTTGTTAATCCACTTACTGTTTCAGTGAACAGCACAGGTAAGAAAAGGTTGGTGTTAGATCTTCGACATGTAAATCAATTTGTAGAAAAACAAAAGGTGAAGTTTGAAGGGGTGAGTGAGGCTTTACAATATGCAAAACAGGGAATGCACATGATTAAGTTTGATTTAAAATCAGGTTATCACCATATTGATATACATCCAGATTTTCACAAATATTTAGGTTTTTCTTGGAAATATGGTGACAAATTCAGATTTTTCGAATTTAATGTGTTACCTTTTGGTTTATCTTCAGCAGGGCATGTTTTTACAAAAGTAGTGAGAGTTTTAGTGAAATATTGGAGATCATGTGGTATACCTGTGGTAGTATACTTGGACGATGGTTGGGTTTGTGATACGTACGAGAAGTGCAAGTCTGCATCAGACATAATACAAGACACGTTACAGAGATCAGGTTTTGTTATAAATACTGAGAAGTCAGTACTTGAGCCTACTCAGAGTATGGTGTGGTTAGGGTTTTTGTGGAATTTGAAAAGCGGGACGCTAGAAGTTCCTTTGGAAAAAATTAGTAATATTAAATCTTTATTAAAAGAACTTTTAGAGAATAAAAACAATATTTCGGCGAGAAAATTATCTTCTGTTGTGGGAAAAATTATCGCATTAAAACCATCTTTGGGAAATATATGTCAGTTAATGACTAGACGTCTCAGTATTACAATTTGCTCTAAAACTGGCTGGGATGAAATTTTGTATATAGACAATGGGAATATTCAAGAGTTGGAGTTTTGGCATTACAATATCAGTAAGCTCCCTTGCAAATATTTTACATGTATTGATAAGACACCAGAGAAAATTATTTTTTCGGATGCAAGTTCTCATGCAGGCGCAGGGTTTACATGTGAAAGGAATAAGAAAATAGTTCATTACATGTGGGATCAGTGTGAAAAAAGTAAAAGTTCAACTTGGAGAGAATTAAAGTCAGTACAAATAATTTTAACAAGTCTGGCAGATGTGTTGAGTGGAAGGTTTGTGAAAATATTTACAGATAATCAAAATGTCGTGCGCATCGCATGTAAAGGTAGTATGGTTGACGAGCTGCATCAGCTGGCATTGAGTATATTTGGTGTCTGTGTGCAATACAGTATTTTACTTGAAGTACAGTGGATACCAAGAGAATACAACATGGATGCAGATAGTTACAGTCGCATATTTGACAGTGATGATTGGAGTGTGTCTGAACACATTTTCCCATATTTTGATAGAATATGGGGTCCTTTTACAATTGATCTTTTTGCAAATTGTAAGCATAACAAAGTTAAAAGGTTTTATTCGAAATATTGGAATCCAGGCACTACAGGAGTTGACGCTTTCGCTTATGATTGGTCAGGTGAAAATTGTTGGATAGTACCTCCTCCTTTCCTTATAGGCAAAGTGATAAAACATTTGCGTTTGTGTAATGCATATGGAACTTTAATCATTCCTAAATGGTTGTCTGCTTTATTTTGGCCAATGATATGGGATAAAAGTACAACATCTTACAAATCTTATATAAAAGAATATGTTGAATATAAGAACCCAAGGAAATTTTTTATGTCAGGATCAGACAAGTCGAGTATATTTGCTCAAGATATGTTTTTGAGCAACGTTCTGGTTGTTAGAATTGATTTCAGAAAAATATAATAATAGCAGTTTAAATATGTAAGTGTGTGTGTTGTTATATTTTTGCTGTTTATTCACAGATTTTTAATGATACTTGGGCGGAAATTAAAGAAATGTCAACGAAAGAGCAGTTTAAATCAGCAGATTCATCAATATTCCACATCATGAAAAGTGCAAAAAGTAAAAACACAGTCAAGCAGTATGAAACGTATTTCAAGAAATTTACGCAGTGGTGTATTTCCAAAGATGTCGCAAGTTTTCCCGCAAAATCTAGTGTGATTGCCATTTTCTTAAGTGGATTAATTCAACAAGGAGTTTCTGAAGCAGTTCTGTGTTCATTTTTCTATAGTATAAAGTGGTATCATGATCTTCATTGTGCGTTTTCTAATCCTTGTGACGACAGTGTTATTCATAGTTTAATGGAGGGGGGAAACGAATTTTATCAAAGCCCATAAAGAAGAAGGAACCAATTTCGCCAGATGTGTTAGAGAAGATTATAAATGTATATGGGGAACGTGAGCAAAATTGTGATTTACGAAGTGTGAGAACAGTGGCTATGTTGTTGTTGAGTTTCGCAGGTTTTTTGCGATTTAGTGAATTATCTAATATTAAAGTGAAAAATATAATTTTCAAGAATTTATACATGAATGTTTGCATCGAATCCAGCAAAACTGACGTATACAGGCGTGGTAACGAAGTGACATTGGCAGAGGCAGGAGGGAAGCTGTGTCCTGTATCTTGGATTAAGCATTATTTAAATCTAGCTGAAATTCAGGATAAACCAGAGGAATATGTATTCAGAGCAATTAGATTTTACAAGTCATGTGGAAAATATATGTTGTGCGGTATTAACAAGCCGATTTCATATACAAGAGCCCGAGAGTTATTGTTAGAAGCTTTGGAAAAAGTGGGAATAGATTCAAAAGGCTTTGGTTTGCACAGTCTGCGAAGTGGAGGGGCAACAACTGCAGCCGAGAAAAATGTGTCGGAGCGTCTGATCAAAATACATGGACGTTGGAAATCTGACTATTCCAGAGACAATTATATTAAGGATTGTATAGATAACAAATTGAAAGTGTCTAATAGTCTTTTCGTGTAAATATAAATGAATATATATTAATAATAAATATATATGCATATATATAGTGTGTGTGTAGACAGGTATTATTATTTTTTACAATTTTCTCTTTGATTGTTCTACGTTCTGACGAGCAGCATTCCATACATATGAGTTGATTATTCTTTCAATACAGAATAAAGAGTATAATTAATTTATATTCGGACGAACGAAGTGAGGGAGAATATAATTATTATTATTGTCGTTATGGGTATTTCCTGTGTGAACAGAGTGGTGGATCTGTGTGGTTTTTATGTCACGTGACATGGTCATATAAATAGCAGGTGCGTGCTTTAAAAGTTATTCTACCGCTCGTACAGAACGTTGTAAGGAATGGAAACCAGTAAATTAGGCACACACACACATATATGTATGTATATATCAATATTATTTAATGATTAAAAATAATGGGTGTTGAAATAAATACAAATGTGTTAGAATTGTAATAAACGTTCTGACGAGCAGCATTCCATACATATGAGTTGATTATTCTTTCAATACAGAATAAAGAGTA